GCAAGTGCAGACCTCAGGCTGCAGGGAGTGCCTGGACCTCTCTCCTGGGGCAGGGACAGGCGGCAGACCTGCCTGCAAAAGGTGTGCTGTGGTGGAGAACCTCCTGCAGCAGGTGGCTGAGCTGCAGGAGGTGGTGAGAAGGCTGCGTAACATCAGGGAGGCAGAGAAGGAGTTAGCTAGCTGGTTCCAAGTGCAGTCTGCAGTGGACTCACAGCCCGTGGCCAAACAGCCAAAAACTCCCCCACCGGCACATGCAGAAGGGAGCAGGGGAGCCAATAATGCAGAAGAATGGACGGTTGCAGCGGCAAGGATGAACAGGAGGAAGAGACTTCCCCCGAAGCCTGAGGTGCCCTTGCAGAACCACTTCACTGCTCTGCAGGCCAAAGAGGAAAGACCCGTCACACCGGGAGAGACGCTGGAGCTGAGTGAGGCAGCCCGGTCTGCCCCCGTATAACAGCCAGCGCAATGAAGAAAAGGCGACGGGTGAAGAAAAGGCTTTATGGGTGAGCTCTGTGAAGGGCTTCAGTCCTGCTTTTAAATCACAGCAGGTCTACAGGCAAGTTGTGTCCAGCCTGAAGGTGATGGAAGAAGTCAGCGCTCTTGTATATGATACTAGTAATCACTCCATCTGTGAAGTGCCAGCTGGCCTCCTGTGCTTCACATGGGTCATGTGAGGTTCATTTAATGGATAGCTCTTCTCTTAAGGACACGGAAGAGAGAAGTCCTTCCTCAAATTCTGCAAGATTAGAAATAGGGTTACACAAGGCTATCTCTGCTATTATGATACTCCGTAGCATGGCAATGTTCAGTTTTCCTCTCTGTGTTACAGTCTGTCCTGCCTCCCTGCTCTACTCAGCAACTGTTGAAGGACATCTCATTTCCATTAGTGGACACATTTCAGTGTTAGTGCTGTGCTAGATGGGACACGAGGTCAGAACACCCTGACTGATTGTTCTTGGCCTTCTGCAATATTCAGTAGCTTTTAGACTTTGGGCCTCTTTAAATGCATGTTCATTGTTTTACTAGTCTACTTGCTTGTGCATACAGGAGAGGAGTTCGTACAGTGGCTGTACTACGCCTTGACTTGTGATTCCAAACCAAGGTAGCCCGAGGTATCCAATTTAATACCTCTTTGCTTACATGGTAACAACATTGTCGTAGGATTTCTTGTGCTGTATGTCATGTCAGTAATTGCATCCCTTGCGGGGAGGTCCTGTACATGTCAATAATTTGCTTCTCCCATTACAAGAGAGAAATAAGGCATGCGTATTCCTGACACTTGTGATTATAGCACTTGGTGCTCCTTGTACTCCTGTGCTTATATTGCTACGCAAAGGATCAAACATTACTTTTTAAACAGAACTTTTAAAACAGATTCTGTCACATCCCCGTCCAAATGAAGTATCTTCTGGGATCAAAGATAAACTCTAAAATAATTGTTGGCTTATATTTTGTGTCTTTGGTGTGATGTGCTTATCCACTTCATCTCTTTGAGCCAGGTCTTCTGGTGCTGTAAACTGCTGTTGCTCTAATATAAGCCAAGGGAGCCACGCTGGTCCATACCCACTGATATCTGTCCCTTAATGTCAACAGCCAACATACGTATTAAGTCCCTGTCAAGTGTAAAGAAAACAGATGGCTCTTGTGTTGGAAACAGCCTCACGTCTCATACCTTTCCTTGGTTTTTGTTTGTTCATTTTCCCCTGTCTGTCTGTGTTCAGTTCCTTCCTTTTCCTCTTCCTGGTGCATGGATCCATGGCCCACACGGCAGAACTGCGTAAGAAGCATTTTGAGTTTTCCGCTCAAGATACCTCAACTTGGTTTCAGTCAGATTAATTAACCCTTCTTTTCCCCTGCCACCTTTACGTTTGGTGCATTATGCAAGAGTAAAGTTTGCCTGGCATAGAATTAGGTTATGAACTGGGCTGCCGTTAAGAAGCTATTCCAAAACTGAGTTGCTCCCCCAACTTTTGAGGGATCAAGAAGCTCCAGTGTTTACTCTCTAGAAAATTTATAATTTGATGCCTCAAATAAAATTGACTTCCAGGTTCCAAACTGGCTCTGCCCTCCTTCTTCCTCTGCATACGGAGCTGTATATCAACCCAGGTATTTCTAGAATGGGAATGAGGAGTTGCAAACGTAACGTGTGTAAAGAAGTGAGTGCCAAACAACATGCCCAGTAGCTTTAGCTGCTGATTTGGCAGGAGCGTCCTCTGCTGTTACCGGCTTAGAGCCCTGCTAATGGAAAACATCTAATGATGCAGGTGTGAATTGCAGTAGCATTGAGACAATTTGGTAATGTTTGGTGAGTTATGACTAAATTCAGCCTTGATGTAATTCCACCAAAACAGTTAGCACTACACCTGTTTGTCTGGACCTTAGGGCAAGCGGCTCATTTTCGTGGACATGAGAATTACACACTTACATTTGCATCGAGGAGAGGAAACTGCTGCAAAGACTGAAAAAAATCCAGTTGACATATGCTAGACAGAAAACTTCATCTTCCCCCAAAATAATAATTTCTCAGTACAAATAAGAAGTTAATTGATTTGGAAGAAAGCCAGTTAAAGAAATTCTTTGCAGTGGGTAAATTTACTGTGCATAATGTGCCAGGTTTTATCTGTATAAACAGAAATGGGTAATTTCAAACTCTGCTAATACTGCTCTGAATTATGCATCTGAATTAACACTTCAGTGCCACTGCGTGTCTGTGATAATTTGGAGTGTTAGTTGGGAGAGAGGCTGTTGCTTTGTCCCACGGAGGTGCGACAAGCGGAGCCCTCCTCGCCTACTGCCTCCAACTGACTCCAGGTCCTTTTCCGGGGGCGGGGGGGATTTTCTGATCCCGGTAGAGTTGACCAGATCGTTGGGCGAGGATCCTCCATGACCGACAAGGATCGGACCAAAGGGCCAGCGGAGGGGGAGCTGCCTGAAGACCCCAGCATGATGGGCAGGCTTGGAAAAGTTGAAAAACAGGTATATTGGGTCAGGAGGGAGTTCTTATCAGAGGGTGTTGCATGCATTGTGTTGGATTTCTCTTGCCTTATTTTTCCCCAGTGGGACATTACCATTCAGAAAAAAAAGTAAGAGCTAAGAATATTTTGAAAAAGAAACAAGGTAGATGTTATGAAAGGGCACTAAATGTCTTAGAAGCCTGAAGTACTCGTTTCGAAACAGGCACTTTGGAGTCTGTGACATACAGACTTTCTGTTTTGGTGAGTCTACCAAAAGCCTACATTATTTTTGAAAATGGCACATTGGTTTCTTTGCCACCATACTAGACATGTTTCAAATGAGTCCATGAGCCTGGCTGCTGTAGCTGCTGGCCTCACCGAAGATGAAAATCTTCCTAGAGGACAAGGCTCAGAAATTCCCATGGCCACCTGAGCCCAGGCAAGTGCCAAATGCAGTAAGGAGCTGAAAGCCACTGGAAGGATGCGAGTGTGCTCCAGCTTTCCTGGAATTTGGTGAATGTCAAAAAGATTATAGGAGCTTGAGGAAAACCCCATAAAAAGGTGGTAAATTAAGGTTTTTTTTCAGAATAGGACAATTAAATATTTACTAAAAGTTTCAGTTTGGTGTAGGTCAGTGTAGGCAGAGGTCATCTATGAAGCCCAGGCCCACACTCATGCCTAGGTGGGTTGGAAGTTGCTTGTACTCAGCATGTTAATTTGTTTCAACATGCAGGCAGCATAGCACTGTAACTGTGGTGTTTTACAGGTTCAGTCAATGGAGAAGAAGCTGGACTTCCTGGTGAACATTTACATGCAGCGGATGGGCATCCCACCAACAGAGACGGAGGCTTATTTTGGGTCCAAAGAACCAGACCCAGCACCTCCCTACCACAGCCCTGAAGACAGCAGGGAACACATCGACAAGAACGGCTGCATCATCAAGATCATCAGGTTCACCAGCTCCATGGGTCAGAAGAACTTCTCTGCCCCACCAGCCCCCACCAACACATGCCCGCCCTCGACATCATGCCAGCAGCAGGTCTACCAGCGGCAAAGCCACGGCTCCTCGCCCGTTGGAGACCCCGGCTCGCTGGTCCGCATCCCACCTCCACCCTCCCACGAGCGCTCCTTGTCAGCGTACAGCGGTGGGCACAGGGCGAGCGCAGAGTACCTGAGGAACGAAGACATTACAACCAAACACCACGAGAGTGCCATGAGAGACAGCGACACGTCCATCTCCATCCCCTCGGTAGACCACGAGGAACTGGAGCGCTCTTTCAGTGGCTTTAGCATCTCCCAGTCCAAAGAGAATTTGGACATCCTTAACAACGGTTGCTATGCAGCCGTGGCCAAAATCAGACCCTACATTGCAGAAGGGGAATCAGACACCGATTCTGACCTCTGCACGCCCTGCGGTCCTCCTCCCAGGTCGGCCACGGGCGAGGGACCCTTCAGTGACATGGGCTGGTCAGCCCCCAGGCAGTGAAGCCTTCTCACAGCCACCGAGCCACGTCCGAGTGCTGGCAGCTGCCCGCTCCAGCTGTCCACGCATCGACCTTCTCAAGGAGATTGACAGCTAAGGTTTTCCTCCTTCTAGGACATCCTTAGCTGGCGGATACTTTCTTGCAGCTTACTCTGGGGGGGTGGGGGGGGGATGAGCAGGTCTGAGCCTGCATTTGTGGAAGAGGTCACGGTGGTGAGCGAACTGGAGCCGTGAAATCCAGATTTCTTTCATACTCTCTTTCTAAGGTCATTAGGTGAAATTATTTCATGGTGCAGGGTAGGCAATTTGCATTTCTTGGGAATCTTCAAAAGTGCAGGGCAGGAATAAATCACCTGGCCAGGGCTTTTGGAGGTCACAGTAACTGGTGGCTGACAAGTGTTAGGTGGGAATTGCCACGTCATGGCACTGGTGATTACACCTTTAGGTATTTTGGAGTCGCTGAATGAACACGTGTCTGTTTCTGGCTTAGATTTCAGGTCACGTGTCATTATGGGGGGGGGTTGTTACTCTGTGGTTCCTCATTAACCATCAGGAAGGTGTCATAATTCCAATATAATACATGGAAATGTTGCGTAGGACCCTGAAGGAGAGGGATGGTGGCTGGAATATTTGCATGAACAGAAGACATGGCCTCAAAGTGGGACAGGTTAAGATACTGCTCTGAACCAGAACGGTTTGGAAGTTAGAAAGTTGAAAAACTCAGATATATGAGCTTGAGTGCAAGAAGAGAGACAGCCCAGAGGGCAGAGAAATGAGACAGAGAAGGAGGACAAGAGACTACGGGGCTGGAATTTTATGTTTTAAACCATGTATTATATTTAATTATCTCCCTTCCCATTGACAACGGACCTGGAGGTGCTTTGGAAGCAAAGGCAAACCAAAGGCAACCCCTCTGGAGGGCTGCCACGCTGTGAAGCCATTCTCATGGCCAACAGTGCTGTTGTGGAGGCACAGCCACCAGGCCACAGGGAGAGGGTGGATATGCAAGATGCTGTGGTCCCCACGTTGCTGCGAGTTAAGTGCTGAGCTCCATCCTTTTGAAGCCCTGTTGGTCAGAGCGGGCGCTTTTCTTACAGTTTGCATTGTGCCTGAACACTTTTGCACACACTATGCCCCATGAAAATCTTCCCTTTCTTCTTCTGCCCTGCCAAGAATCTCACACCCATGTTCTCGGGACATCCTTCAGTTTTGTCCGGATCCCTCAAGCTGAGTTAAGAGGTGCTTCTTCATTTCTCCATGGTCTTTCAGAAGCCTCTTACCTGTGCTTGCCCGCAAGCTGTGCCAATCCAAGTCTGCCCTGTTTCGTTGTTGTTAAAGTACTTTCTCTTGGAAAGATCATTGTGTCACTACCAGGAACCTCAGCAGCGCATTCAGCTGGGGGAAAGCGAGGGGAGAAGTGATGCTCCAAGTTTCTTTTGGGACCAAAACAAAGTCACAAAGTGATCCTTTATGTGGATAGATTGGTTGTTTTTTTTTGCAAGGGGGTGGATCAGGAAAAGCGTGTTTGGGATCCATCTCCAGGGCTGGGACACCATGGCCGGCATTGTGCCTCTGAAGCCTCCCATGCATCTATAGCCCAAATCCCGTGCGTGTTTTCTGCTGGGGCTGTGTCTGTGATTTCAAACCCCATCTCTCCACATTTTCCCTGTGTCGTATCAAGAGCCTGATAAGGATATTTACGTGACAACTTCATCTCTGTGTGGCCTTTGAGAGGTTGAACATTGCTTGGGGTGAAGGGAGCCTTTTTCTCTCCTCTTGTTTGCTTGACCAGAGGCAGCAACCAGGGGAGACCTAGGACTATTTTGGCCTTAGGAAAGATGTGGGTGCAGTCTGACAGCTTGCAGACAGGAAATAAAACCATCCTTTTGCTAGTGCTCAGGACCAACACACAGGTCTTCACATGGGATTGAGGAGTGGGGAAAGGCTCTGCACAATTTTTCCTGCCATTTTTCACCATTCAGGAGGGGAAAACATTTTTCTTAGAGGCAACCTGGGCTTCCAGCCATGCTAGTTCCTTTCTTTCCCATTTGATCAATTTTTTTTTTATCTCCTGCAATTTTTCCCTCTCTGCTTGTGCTCCCAAGCTCCTTTTGGCTCCAGATTTCTTTGTGCAAAGTGAACCCAATGGCACCCTTGACTTCCATACAGAGAAACTTTTGAGTGCAAAATGGCTGCAAATTGTGCAGATTTGCCCCTGGCGTGCTGCAAAATGAGATGCCTTCTGGTAGAGCAAGAAATGCCAGCAGGTCCCAAATCAGACTTGGTGGCATGTGTTTTCTAGTGACCACAAGAATGGAAATTGCACTGGGTGAGGCAAAAGTCAACATTGCTCCTGCCAGCTGCTCACTGCAAATTTTGTCCAAGTCAGAGATAACAAAGATTTATTATCTTATTTGTTTGCAATTATTTTTTGAGGCCTGCTGGAAATTTGGCATAGAAGGGTATGATACAAAGGCAGGAACTCCAGATGAGGATGAGGATGATGCCATATTGGTCCCATTGCAGCACAGGTACATGACTGGTCTTTGATATAGGAGGCAAAGTCAACAGGACTTCAAGGCACAATTTTTGTGGGATGTAATTTTCACTGTGTCCTAATTTTGAAGCCCTATTGGCTCTATTTCGAATGTCCATTTCCTAGTTCTTACTGCAAAATCCCTTTCTCCTGCCCAGATGATGTTACACCCTTGAAAGCAGATACAGCCAGTGTGTCCTGAGGAGACATGGTTCCACTGTGTCCTCTGAGTTTTCCACAGACTGAAGTCTGGCAGTCTTTTACCTCCTTTAGAGACTGCGTAGGAAGAATTTATGTGTTTTCCCTCTTCAAGTAAGTTATTCTATCTCAGTTTATAAAGATCTTCTGACTTGTAGCTTTAAAATGTGTTGGATTTGTCCCACAGTCACTGATAACAGAAAACAGGTTTTATGTATATGCAGCACAGATTGTGTCTTGCTGCTACAAATTTCACATTATAATCTTTTTGGAAGGTGTAGGAAATATTCCACCTTTATCCGTGGCAGCATTTCTAAGAAATTCTGACACACACCTCCATCCACAACCATGCCATAAATTGTCACTTGTCGTTCATCTGGGCAAAAAGGCTTGACCTGGATTTTTGGGTTAACTTACACCAGAATTAACTCCAAATAATGCTCCTTATTTCCATGAAATGATTTATGCCTGCATAAATGAGAACAGAGCCTGCTCGTTGCTTATTGACATAAATAATTTCATTCCTGTCCCAAATCATAGTCCAATACTTCCTGCAAAGTCTTCACTTTCAATCCCTCAATTCCCCCATGCCTGTATCACACACTCCTGGTGGTAATCTCCCACAAGAAGTCTTAACCACTAGATTAAAAGAAAATAAGTTGGTTTTGTTTTGCTAATACGCTGTCCCAATGATAAAGACCTTTAAAAGGATGGACAGGCAGACTTTGTCCCTCTGCTGAGCCTCTCTCGGGCTGATTTTTACTCCCCTGTTCCCACAAATTCTGGTTCTGTATTTTTTGGAGGACAGAAACAGGTTTTAGACAATGCCAAGTGTGGACAGAGGAGACCAAGGAGAGCTGAAGAAGATGTGAAAGCCAAATTTCCAGCAGGCCATCCTGAACTGCTCTGGGGGTGCCCATGCTCATGTGCGGTTCTGTGCACAGAACCTGGTGCCGTGGCCTTGGACCAGAGCCTGGGATCTGGTCTCCAAGAAACTTTTGGACTTTTTTTTTTTTCGGAATCTGGGTCTAGATCTGGAGAGGAATACTGCAAATGGCCCCACCTGCGGGATGGAGCAATCCCTGTGACTGGGACCTGAAGCCACAGTCAGTTTTTGGGTGCTTCGAGTCCAAGCGTGAGTTCAAGTTGTCTCACGAGTTCATGTTTCCAAACAGGGGATGTGGCTGAAGATGTTGCGGTCTCTGTGCAGGTGGCCTTTCATAACGTGACCCTGAGACACAGGAACAGAGCACTAGCCATAAATCGAATTTCCCAACATTTGGGAAAGGTCTTTAATGTTACTCAAGTGCAGATTTTGTATGTGAATTTCCTTGTTGACTCATTTTCTTATTAATAATTTTTAAAACAGAAATATCAAGGAACTCACTGAAAACAAACCTCTTGTCCAGCTCAGAAAGCCATTATATTTCTTTAGACAGACTATGTGATAGATCAGGTTTTCTAAAAATGTATTTTGTTTCAAATGCTGCTTAATAGATCCAAATAAATTCTGCAGGGTCATTGCTATTTACAGACAAATAGGTATATTTTTACATTTTTAATTGATTTTTAAGATTTTAAATTATGTGAATTTTTAGAACAAGTTTGTATAATCTACCTGAAAAGCCAGAGCATCACCTCAGATACAAATGCTCCCCTTCCTAACAGTTACCCAAGAGAAAAGAAAAACACATTTACTCATATTTTTCTCAAGAGGGAGCTACTGCAAACCTCATTTCCCTTACATCCTCAGACAACTATGGTCACAGCAACATTATTGCTGAAAACAAAATGAAAGTATTCAAAGAGAAACTGAAATTCCTAAGGCATTTGCCCTAGAGTTATCCCGTATAAAGACCCTTAGCAGTGAATATTTTATTGGGAATGTTAAAAAACCCAGAAGCAGGCTAAGGATTTCCGTTTCTCCATCCCTGCTCATGTGAACGCTCAGGCTGAGCGAGCCCTGAGCCTCCATCTCTTTCTTCCCAGCAGGCCTGTGGTTCTCGGTCCTACGCCCACGTGCCCGCATCCTCTGTCATCCGCTCTCCGTCACAGGTCGGCATCTTCTGTTTTCATCAGCTTCCTTTTTGTGAACCAGAAACAAGGAAATCAGATACAAAAGCTCCTTCACCTGCAAGTAACATTGAGGCTGTGACATGGAGGGCCGTGGCACAGGGGTGAGGGTGGCAGCCCCCTCCGAGCCCCGCGTGGGTCACTGCTGCTCAGCGGTGTGAAAGCAAACTCTTGCTTTTAGCACACAAACACCCTG